GAAGTAAAATTTTCGAAATCTTTTAACTTTTAGTGGTCATGTGATTGATTGCTTATTGACCGAGTTTGGCCAATTAGTCAATAAGTGCATATTATTTCCCTTTGGACAGACACCAAGACACTCATAACCAGTCTTTTATCATGGTAAGGGCGAGTGGCAGATGGTTTGGTGTCCGTCTAGATGCGATCATTTCTCTGTTAGTCGGTTTAGTGATTTTGGTGGCAGTTTTGATATCTCAAGATGCTGGTAAGTGAATTCCTAATCAGTTACTATGAAAGCACGCTTTTATCATTGACGTTTCAAGGCACGCATCTCTTCGTCCACGAATAAGTTTGAGGCTTTTAGCAACGCGAACCAACGAGTGATCTGCGCGTGATCTTGCACTTTATTCTAGTGACGATCTATCGCAAACCTCTAGCCGGCTTGTTTCGCTCAAACCATATGACACCTCCCTCATACGGGCAAAATCAAATCAGTCTGAATTTAATGAAGAATTTCCAAAATATTGGGCATATAACACGAGAAGTGTGTCGCTGCAACATGCTCCCGCGACAACTTGTGTCGTGTTGAGTAGTGCATAGCTCTGCTGCTAAGGGTTCGGTCATAGGTCATTGCAGGGGGTTGGGAGTAGTGATCTGATCTGCCCCCTTAGTGGCATCTAGTTTCTATAACCCAACCCCACTTTATACTCTGTTGACGAAAACTGATCTCCCCTTCGTCCCCCATCAAAATCTCCCCCACCCTCCTTTCAAGTGATAAATAGACTGATTCCTTACAACGCACCAGAGCGCACCGACGTCAACGAATTAACGAACTACTGAAAAACGTGGCTACGTGTCATTAGACCTCATTATTTCAATGACATCTTCAGTATGGTGGTGGGGTCGAGATCCACAATCGATAGTTATTCTTTATAACCTAAGAAATGCGGTAATCGATCATTATTAATTTCTTTTTTTTTTAATATTTAGTTTCATATTTTTTTAATAGCTTCCGCTGGACTTGCTCTTGCTTACGTCATTCAAACAGTCGCTATGACACAATACGCTGTCAGGAAATCATCAGCTGTCGAGAATTTGATGACATCAGTTGAACGAGTTATGGCCTACACCAAACTTGACTCAGAACCTGGATACAAAGTGGACAGACTTCCCCCGGAATATTGGCCACGTGAAGGAAATATCATATTTCACGATGTGTCGTTAACATATTA